TCTCTCTCTCTCTCTCTCTCTCTCTCTCTCTCTCTCTCTCTCACGCGCCCACACACACCTACACACACTCCAAAGAACCCCAAAAAACAAGCGACAGTTTCAGACAGCGGTGTATTCTCACACAGTGGCAAGCAGAGCAGGGTGGGGTGTACACGGGTACACGGTCGGTGCAGCAGTGGGCGGTGGTGGCTGGGTACATAGTATGACACAGTGCTGTTGACACGTAGTTGACACATTGTTGACACATTGTGGAGACGTTGTTTACATGTTGTCGGCACTTTGTAAATAATGTTTTTGACACGTTATGGACACGTCGTTGGCACGTTGTTGACTTTTTAAACATCATTTTTGACACGTTCTTGACACATTGTTGACACATTGTTGACACATTCGTTTTCACGTTGTTTACGCATTTCTTACAGATAGTTGGCACTTTTTTTGACGCATCGTTTACACATACATAGTTCACACACACAGTTACACCCCCCACAAACACACACACACTTCCACACATACGCCAGCCATCCAGTTCACCCCATAACCTCTGACCCCTGACCCCCCTCAGGCCCGACGGAAGACAGCCACTGCGCAGGACATGCTTTACGCCACCGGAGGTGACCCCGCCCCCTCGCTACTTCCGGTCCTGGAGGCGCCCAGTGAGAGACCGAGCACGGTGGTCAACTGTGGCAGGTGACGTCATTGTCTGTCTGTCTGTCTGTCTGTCTGTCCATCTGACTGTCTGTCTGTCTGTCTGTCTGTCTGTCTGTCTGTCTGTCTGTCTGTCTGTCTGTCTGTCTGTCTCTCTATCTGTCTGTCTGTCTGTCTGTCAACTCTCTCAGGTGACGTCTTTGTCTGTCTGTCTGTCTGTCAACTATGGCAGTTGATGTCATTCTCTGTCTGTCTGTCTGTCTGGCCGTCTATCCGGCTATCTGTCTGGCTGTCTGGCTGTCTGGCTATCTCTCTCTCTCTCTCTCTCTCTCTCTCTCTCTCTCTCTCTCTCTCTCTCGCTCGCTCTCTCTCTCACGGGGTTGGATGATTGATATTTTTTCTCGCCATGTCTGTCTCTGTCTTGTCTGCCTGTCTGTCTGTCAGTCAGTCTGTTTCTGTATGTGTTTGTTTTGTTTGTTTGTTTGTTTGTGTGTGTGTGTGTGTGTGTGAA